TTCAATCAGATTACAACCCCAAGTCATCACGCCACTTTCCAAAAAGGCTAAAACACAATGATAGCTTCCTTGTAGCAAATACGTTTTGTTTGACAACCCTAAACACCGAAGCCTACCTTGGCTAGCCATTCTTCTAAAAACCCCTTTTGAGAAAATCCCTTATAACAACCCTTTTGAAAAAAAAAAATACAAACATTCCTCCAATCTTTTTTCTTAACCCTTATGGCATTAAAACAATACTGAAAAGATACATAGAAAATGCACAGTGAATATTAACAGAGGGAAGACAGAGATGTCCCTGAACAGAGTCTGGAGACGTTTGACCAGATAATTAAGGAGCCACTAAGATCTTGGGTTCAAAAGAACATACCCCGACAATGATCACAAACGGCATGGATAAAAAGGAATCGTCAACATTAACCTTAACGCACACAGGTTAATTTCCCGACATTAAAATACTACGGCCTGGAGAGGCTATGAAAATACTACGACCTGGAGAGGCTATGAAAATACTACGGCCTGGAGAGGCTACGAAAATACTACGGCCTGGATAGGCTATGAAAATACTAAGGCCTGGAGAGGCTATGAAAATACTACGGCTTGGAGAGGCTATGAAAATACTACAACAACAAAGAGGGTTACCTGACCTTAAAGAAGGCCGGCTGAAGCCTTAAAATATCAGTCCAGCTTGGAGACGCTGAGCTACGAAACTACTTCAACAACAAAGAGGGTTACCTGACCTTAGAAGAGGCTGGCTGAAGCCTTAAAATATCAGTCTAGCTTGGAGAGGCTGAGCTACGAAACTACTTCAACAACAAAGAGGGTTACCTGACCTTAGAGGAGGCCGACTAAAGCCTTAAAATATCAATCCAGCTTGAACTACTTCAACAACAAAGAGGATTATCTGACCTTAGAGGGGGTCGGCTGAAGCCCTAAATATCAGTCTAGCCTGGAGAGGCTAAGCTCAGAATATACTCCCTCTTCAACAAGCTACAAATAAAGGAACACATTATCACAAGAAAGACAATGGAGCTTCTACTCGAAGAGTGAAGATCAAGTGTACAGTTTGTCAGCCTTGTTACCCAATAGAGTACGCAACTACTCTAAAGGGTGAGGATACGAACAAATAAACCTATCTAAGGGAAACAATGCAGAAGGGCCAACACTAAAGAGACGAAGAGAAGACTCGAACGAAATGTTTACGTCTTTACTTGCCTTTGAAAAAACAACACATTACTATTCCAAAGGACAAGTAAAGAGGGACAGCTGTAGACACCCAATTTCGTACGGGGCATACAAACAACAAGATAGGACATCAGAAGGCCCAAAAGCCCAAATCAACTATTTTTAGTGGCCCGGAACTGGCCGTTCCAAAATTGGAACGGGTCGTTCCCAAGTCTGGAACGGGTCATTCTTGAATTGGAACGGGCCGTTCCGAGGCTCCTAAAAGGCCTAAAAATTGTAGGTTAGAACGGGCCTTTCCAAACTAATCAAAGGGCCTAAAATTTGTAACCAGGAACGGGCCGTTCTCATTTCAAAACAGGTCGTTCTGGTTCTCGGAACGGGCCGTTCTGATTTCAAAACGGGCCGTTCTAGGGTGCAAAAATAATACATAACGTTTGGATCCGGAACGACCCGTTCCAAATCCAGAACGGGCCATTCTGGCCCACATCTAATGCCTATAAATAGAAATTTCGGCCACAGTTCTCTGGATCCCCAAAAAATTTCGTCCAAGACTCTTTAGAGCTTGAAATTTCTCTCTCTCTCTCTCCTATTGTATTTCTTGAGTATTGTGAGGAAATTGTAGTGTGAAAGGTTGCCACAAAGCACCTAAATTTTCCATATTTGAAGATCTAACAAAGCTTGCCACGAGGTATTTCATTTAATCTTCTTCTCTCTCTTTTATTTTCTTATTTTTAATATACATTGTTATAACAAACGCAATCATGTAGATATTTTAGGGTTAGTCGTATAATTTAAATTTTTAATATGTAAATAAATATTAATAAAGGGGATTCAATATTTAATTTATTAATTCTTATCATATTAACTTCATCATAGGGTACCGATTGAGGGCGTTGTAGGGGTGCTTAATACCTTCCTTACACGTAACCGACCCCCGAACCCAATTCTGGTTATCAAGGCCATTATTGGATCTTTAAAAACTTTTTCTTTTTCCAATGTTTTGAGTAAAATATTGGTGGTGACTCCATGAACCTATTTTCAAAACCATTAATTAAGGATTAGTCTGGTGTCTGGGAATTCCTTAATTAATAAGACTTTTAAAAGGATGTCTAAACCATAGGTCGCAAGATCGGAAATTTTCGGGTTGCGACAATCATTAGTGGAAAAGTACTTGTCCAAATTTTTTGTTCTTCGATTTTCAGTCCTTAGTCCTTGTTCTTCGGATTGGTAGTTGTACCTACAAAAAGGGCTTGTTAAGTCTCATTTCTACTTACTTTTTGATATAAATTATTAAGCAAATTCAACTCCTTCATTCAATCTTGCAAATATAATTGTTCTCTTTTGATTCAATTTTTGTGCATGTATAGCTAACCCAAAAATTATCTAACAATATCCTGATACGCCTCATTTTTTATGCATGTATTAAGTAGAAGAGTTAATGTTGAGGACCCATGGGATTGGAATATGAAAGAGCCAAAAAGGAAGAGTTAAGGAGTAGGAGAAAGCAACTCACGTTGGGCGCATAAGTACCTGCGTCGGCCATGCTCAAGGCAGAGAGCAACACTCTCTATATTCCATTATTGTGTTAGGTGAGTAAGCATTTGTGTCGGGCATGATTCAAGGCAGAGAGCAACTACTCTCGAGAAGACATTGCGCCAGGCACAAAAGTATAATGCGTCGGGCGTACGTGTAAACCCTATCCTGACTCATCCAGCTCGCATTTGAACACAATTTCGAGGGTTACTCTCTCATTCACACATAAGGCGACTTCTAAGAGTTGTGGAAGGGATTCCCGGTGCTTGTGACTGTGTTATGTGTGGATCTTTCCTTCGGTTCTTCCATCTTCTCTTCCATTTCTTATTTTCTTTTTGCCCTCATAGATTTGAGCAGCTAGAACCCTTTTTTTGTGGGGTTAGATGTAACCAACTGAACTCTTGCGTAATCTTTATCCTATTAATGATATATGTTTATTTCATTCATTGTTGTATTATGTTTTTATTCTTAATGCTTGCTTTGGATTGATCTCCCATTGCTTGACATAGGGTCCATTGGGTATTGGAAAATAGCCCTTGAAACTAGCTCTGAAACAAAATACCTATTGAAAAATGTATCTAGGAATGGAGCTTGACCCATTAGTAGTCTCAAACCCTAGTCATTAATGTGGGTTCATATGTTGGATACTCAAGGGATTGATATTCAACATATGCTCTTAGGCTCTTTCTCTAAGGGATTAGGTTTGAGTATACTTGTGGGCTGACTAAGCAATTAATGTATGCAATAGGAGAAGAATTAATTGCACAAGAGTGAGGTTCGGTGAAGTCTAAGCCTCACAAATCCACCATATCATTTCTTATCTTTTCCATACACAAACTAATTGACAAAATTATCCTTAGAGTAGCTTATGTTATTTACTTTCATACTTAACACAAATTACAAAAATGGAATCATTCTTCAGTCACTAATATATAGTATTAAATGCTTGTTTTACCTTTTCTTCCCTATCGATACGATCTTATATATTACTTGAACAACCGGTGTACTTGCCGTGTTTTTGAGTCCGTGGTTAGAAATGAAATTACATTTTACAAGAAAATAGACTAACCTCAAACGGAAGCTCAACAGGGCTCCATAGCCAAAGTAAATAGATGCTCAAAGTGAACAGTATAATCTCAAGATTGAGGGTACCTTGTGAAGATTGATGCATGTGTATTTATAGGAGAGGAAATGTTACCGTTAGTTAAAGAAGCATTAAAACACATTCAAGACCTTTTTATTGCCATGTAATAGTCAGATGTTACTATTTGCTAGACTTAATTGTGGAGAGTGTTTGGCATCTCGAATACAATATGGTCTTAATTAGGGGCAACATCCGTTTAGCTTGCCGAGTAGTGTTTGGATACTCACTGGGTAAACCATGGACTATCTCGAGTACAATATGGTCTTCGATAAGATGGTTTGTGACCTATCCAATACAACCACTATCATTACTTAAACTAGGTCATCATGTCCATTACTAATTAAAAAGAGTACATGCTTACTAGTATCTTCCTTGGTACTTTTGAGTAAGCTGTTGTTGAGCTTAAGAAAAAATTTTGGAACGGAAAAACTAATATAATTTTTTTATAATATATAAATTAAATGCAATAGTTTCAACAATATCATTTTTATGAGTTTAATGATATTAATTAAATAATTATTTTCTTAATCAATCATTTTTACGATATTAAAATATTTTTACTTTATAAGAAACACTCCTAGATTACTTTTTCCTATGACTTCTATACAATAATTTGCTATTTAAAAAAATAGAAAATTTATCTGGAAATTTATTTTTGTGAAATCAAACAATAAGTTTTGTTTATAGAAAACACAATTTGTATGAAAATATGTAAATAAATAAAATGAAGTTTGTAGAGAAAAAAATAATAAGAAAATCACAAAATTAATAAATAAAAAATCTGCATAAAATCCACAAAAGAAATTTGTAAATTCAAGACATATTTAATAATATTTCTTAAGTAGAACGAGGATGTAAAATCAATACAAAAATATTTTTTAAAAATGTAAACAGAAACATAGTTATATTATGAAAGACAAATAAATAATGAAATAAGTAGTTTATAAAAATTATTATTAAATTAGCCCCAAAGGATTGATGTTATTATTATAATGACTAGATAAAATAATACACTTAACACAACAACAAAACAATAGCAAAAAATCATATAACCAACTAACCTAGGGTTCTTATGCAAACAAATCATAGATATTTATGCAACAACATGTATATATATTTATATTAGTGTAAGAAAACATAAAACATAACTTGACCATATGTGAAAATTATAAAGCCCCTTATAAGGTTACAATTATCCTAAATACATATATATAAAGTGTACAAATATCTACAACAAAACAAAACTGAAAACAAAAGTCCAAGGTGTCAATCAATCACTTTACACAACTAGTTACATCAGAACAATTATAACCAAAAGGCCAGCTCCACATGGTTAGGCAATTGGAGGCTTGTCCACCATCTAATCTTGACATGCTCTCATACTAAGTATGATCATTATAGTCCAAAAAAGAAGAAAAAAAATAGGGTAAGTTTGTATAACAAGAAACAATATATGTAAAACAGAAAAAATAGCTACCTATTTCAATATTTACAACTTTCAAGACATAAACTTCTTAGAGATACAACACATCAACTCAAATATACAATTCACAACAACTTCATATAAGATAAGCCACTAAACAACAACTTAGTAATACAATTAGATATCTTCTAATATGATAAAATACATGCATTTTTTTCTCTAAAACCAAATAAGGATTTACCTGGAATGACATGAAGCACAACATAATTCCATTTGTTCAATGAAATTGAAACATTGAGTCACGTAGTTCCATTTCTTGAATGAAACTATTATATGTGGAGGTGTTTATTGTACTGACACCAAATTCTTCTAATAAAACTTGTGTCCCCATTGCAACTTGAATTTTGAACCTTGTTTGATTTTTGGCTCTGGTATGTAGGAAGGCAGAACATCTTTGGTCATACATCACATACACATGATCAGATTCAATTTGCCAACCAAACTTATCTATGTATATTTTGACACTACTCTTTTTACCTTCTCCATCCTCATCACTTACAATAAGCTTAACTTCCGGTCTTTCAAACATTTTTGTGAGTTGGTTCTCAGGGAGGACGAAGCAGAAAATGAAGCCTAGCTGGGGGCAAGGTGGAGTAGAAGAGAGGTCAATAATTATATAACCTGTCGTTGTCTTATATTGTAACCAATTTGGAACACTGCTTACTGGATACACATAGATAGCTTCATATGACTGGTGATTATACCCATAATCATAATCATTGTAATTTTCAACATGATCATGATTTGGTGTTGACAAGTAGAAGTTTGCAAATTTCATCACGTTGATCTGTACATTCAACTCAATAGCAACTAGAGAATGTTCATCCAATTTCAAGCAATTCCAAAACACAACTCGTTTCCTATTTTCTTTTAATTGTTCAACTGTAGTTGAAGGGAACAACAATACAGTCTCCAATGATCTACAATTTTTGGCATTTAGAGTTTTAAGGAACGGGGGAAGTTCTGGTAGAGTCTCAAGTGAAGTGCAATTTTCTACATCAAGAGTTTCAAGGGATAGGGGGAGCTCGGGTAAAGTTTGAAGCGAAATACATGAATGGGCCTTTAGAGTTTTAAGGGATGGAGGAAGCTCTGTTAGAGTTTGAAGTGATTCGCAACCTGTGACATCTAGAGTTTTAGTTTTAAGGGACAAGGGAAGTTGTGGTAGAGTTTGAAGCGAAGAGCAATATTTGGCATCTAGAGTCTCAAGGGATAGAGGAAGCTCTGGTAGTGTTTGAAGTGATTCACAACTTGTGACAAGTAAAACTTTGAGGGATTCAAAAAGCTTTGGTAAAGTCAAAAGTGAAGAGCATGATTGGGCATATATATTTTCAAGGGACATGGGAAGCTCTGGTAGAATTTGAAGTGATTTGCAGTCTGTGACAACTAGAGTTTTAAGGGATTGGGGAAATTTTGGTAGAGTTTTAAGTGAAGGGCAAAATTCAACATTTAGAGTATCAAGGGGAAGGAAAAGCTCTGGTAGTGTTTCAAGTGAATCACAATGATGGGTATTTAGAGTTTCAAGGGATGTGGGAAGCTTTGGTAGAGTTTGAAGTGAAGAGCAATATTCAACACTTAGATTTTTAAGGGATGGAGGGAGCTTTGGAAGAGTTTGAAGTGATTTGCAATCTGTGACTTCTAGAGTTTTAAGGGATTTAGGGAGCTTTGGTAGAGCCAAAAGTGAAGAACATGATTGGGCATATAGAGTTTCAAGGGACAAGGGAAGCTTTGGTAGAATTTCAAGTGATTCACAATCTGTTACATCCAAAAGTTTAAGGGAATGGGGAAGCTTTGGTAGATTTTGAAGTGAAGTACAAGATTGGGCATATAAAGTTTCAAGGAATGGGGGAAGCTCTACTTTTGTTTGAAGAAGTGAAGTCCCAATTATCTTTAGATGTAGCAATTGCGTATGACTTTTGAAGGATGAAGGTAAACTCTTAATGTTACTTCTTGATAGATCTAGTAATTTAAGCTTGCTTTGAAGTCCAAAAGAAGATGGAAGTTCTTTGATCTCTGTACCTTCTAAGCTCAATTGTACCATATTTTTTGATATCATTGAGAATTCTGTAAGATTCTTGCAGTAACTAAGGTTAAGATAACTAAGGTTGCATATATGAAAATTGCTTGCAAGTGTGGTAAGGGACTCGCAGTTGCAAAGGTCCAATATCTTAAGTTTGACCAATGAGAAAATAGATGGATGTACATAAGCCAGCATATAACAACCACTAAGATATAATACTTTAAGATTTGTAGCTCTTGATAAATCTGGAAGCTCTTTTAACTTCTTAGAGCCACTGAGGTCAACCTCTTCTAAATTCACCATATTCTGTAATACAATGAAACAAAATGAAGATATTACACCAACTAAATTATTTATTTAATTTGTATATCTTGAATTAATAAAAAAAAAATTATAACACTGGAACACATATATTTACCTTTACTCCATCCCAAAGTTTTACCAAGTTGTTGTGTGGCAATGACAAAATTACAAGTTTTTCAACAGAAAAATTTTCTGGCAAGGATTTTAGAGGGTAATTTTGCCAACCAAGAAATCTTAGTTCATTTGCTAAAAATCGAAGCCCTTCAGCAAGAATATAATGTTGACGGTCTTTAAATTTCCCAGAAATTTCCAGAAATTGTAGTCTGTTCATCTTAGCAAATATGTGAGGGCTTAACTCCTGCTTAATTGTTGACAACTTAATTTGCATGCTTCTAATGGCCTTAATACCCTGTCATCAATGTAGAGCAAATATTTTAAACATCGTCAAATGAAACATCTCTCTCAGACACACAAAAAAAAAATCAAACATTATTCACATGACCTTATTAATTTAGTTAGGGTTTCACCTTGTCAGTTTTCAATGCTTCAAAAATATCGTCGGAATCCCACAATCGACTATGACTTCCAAGTTCACAAGGCTCACGAACAATCTCCCAAGCCATTTCTTGTAAACCATCATGCATAAATACAACATTATTCTTGTCGGGCTCTCGACGAACAATCTTCCTAGTCATTTCTTGTAAGCTATTATCCTTAGAGAAAGTTATAAGAGCTCTATCTTCCAACTTTTTCAAATCAACAACCACTGAATTATCATTTTCATCATCTTTCAATAAGGATTTTAGATTATCCACATTTACCTCTTTATGCGATCTTAGAAAGAAACATGCTAGATCTAAAAAAATTTGTCGTTCTTTACGATCTAGATCATTGTAACTCCATTTCATCACATCATAAACTTCTTTTAAAGGCATCTTTTTAAGCTTGTCTAGCTTACTTTCCCATACTTCCTTTCCATTTCCACGAAGATGACTAGCCAAAACTTTGAGAACTAATGGAATGCCTTGGGCATAATTGACCACCCTGTGTGAAAGCTCATTATACTCCCTTTGAAGATCACTTTGATTAAAGACATTCAAATTGAAAAGTTCAAGTGCTTCATCGAAACTTAATATCTTAAGTTGGTATTCCTCATTGGCTTTGTTAGCCTTAAGCACTTGCTTATTTCTGGTTGTTACAATTATTCTACTACCCGATCCAAAAATATCAAGAGTTCCCAATAAATTTTCTATGTGTTCTGAATCATTGACATCATCAAGAACAATAAGAATCTTCCTACGGCCAATTCTCCTAACAATGTCATCAGGCAACAAATTTGGTGTATCAATTTTCACATCATATCCTAATAGCTTAGAGAAAATCATTTCCTTCAAAGGAATCATTCCATGTCTTTTTGATTGATCTCTTTCATTGGCTAAAAAATAAGAACCTTCAAATTCACATTGTAGTTTCTTAAAAACTTCTTCTGCAAGAGTTGTTTTCCCTATACCGCACATACCCCAAATACCAATAAGACGAGTGTTGTGTGGCTCTTTTCTTATCAATGACTCTACAATTGCGATTTTTTCATCAATTCCAACAAGTCTTTTTGAGTTAAACAGGGTTTTGGTCAACTTCTCCCGCACAAGATTGACAATTTTTTCGACCACCTCAGCATCATTTCTGTATCATGCACGGAAAGAAAGAGAAAGTGTATGTTAAAATCAACTTCCTTAATACCCAATTATTTGGAAGTTTGATCAGGGGAGTTACAACATGCACAATGAAAATTTTCATATTTCTTTACCTTTCTTCTTACGGAGGTTTCTTAACCGTATGTACTAAAAATAAATAAATAAATAGCTTTTGTTATATGTATATGGTGATGTTTTAAAAAATATATATCATTTAGAAATTGAATATATTTAAATGTATTTCTTAGTTGTAACTTAACTACTAAATTATAATAGATGCATGGTTGGTTCCGACAGAATTCTAGGAAAGTGACATTGGCTAAAATTATATCAGACAAAACTAACTATTAAACATATATTCTGCTGAAAATAATTTAAAAAACAAAGGTTACATCATGTTTCAATTTAACCAACCACGTTATCATAATAGATGCATGTAACTAAATGCTATAAAGTATATATAATACTAGTGGGTGAGGAAAAGGGATTGGAATTATTAGAAAAATGGAGACTTAAATTTGATTCTCAATTGTACCATCTTAATTTAATCTTTTTTATTAAAAAAAATGCTATAAAGTTTGGAACATTTATGGGAAAGAAAGAGATTACCTAAATTTGGATGACTCAAATCCAGATAAATTAGCAGATTCATTCATAGCATCTCTCCAGAGTTTCACCTCGGTCTTGTGTTTTCTTTCATGTTTATTAAATGCATCTGTGTAACTCCCCAATTGATATCGTACGAGTGTGGGCTCTATACGGTAGAAAACAGGTATTACAGTACGTTTGTATTTCTTTCTGCAATCATTTATTTTCACAAGTTCTTTCAAACACCAACGAGAAGAAGCATAATCTGGTGAGAATATGATCAACAAAATGGCTGATCCTTCAATTGCTGCAACAAGTGATGGCCATATTTCTTCTCCCTCCTTAAGATTTTTATCATCTATGAAGGCATCTATTTGGTTTCTTTTAAAAGCCTGAGTCAAATGGCCAAGAAACCCGCAACGGATATCCCCACCTCTTAAACTAACAAAAACATCATGCTTTATTTGAGAAGCATCGTTCTCTGACATAGGTTTTTCCTCTACACCCTCCAGCTTCAGCCTTTTCGGAGCACTGTTGTCTGATATGGATGTTTCCTCTACACCCTTCCTTTTTTGAATCAACCGAGTGACAAAGGTAAACATTATGTTCAATTTCCAAAACAACAAAGTAGGGTTTTGGATTGGAAAAAGTGTGCACGGTGGATCTTTCTTAACTTGTCTCTACACCGGAATATATATATCTGTGAGCCACAGAAAGAAAAGAAAAAGTTAGAATTAAAGTGAAAATATAATAATTTTTTTTGAAAGAAATTAGATACGTACGAGGCTACAAACAATTGAAATGATGAAGGAGGAGGATGTGATATCATATGAGAAATACAATAGCAGCTAGCTTTTTTCCTTTTCTTTGGCCAAAACTGAATAATTGATAGAGATCATAGTAAACCAGTCATTGGTCTTGAATAATACGTGCTACTATGGCCATCACATATTTGCAGCATTAAAGAGTGAGGAAAATAATTCAACGAGTGAACCGCGTGTTTGGACTATGACTGGTTGAGGCATTGAAAACAATTGCTTAATTGTATAGGTGGGTGAGAGTAAATGCTCGTATATGCACATGGGTGGTGGGACTGACTCAAACTGTGTTTTTATTTGCTTTGCACTCTATTTTTCAAGATCACATACTTTTCTCATCCTCCATGCATGTTACCTTGCTGTAAGTGAATAAGGTACGGTTAAGGCAAAAAAGCAATTGCTTTTTTTTTTTTTTATCATTATTGTAAACTAGATAGGATTCAATAAGATGCTTAGTTTAATAAGTGAAATATGTAAATGGGTGATGATTAAAAACTATGCTGAAATTAAACACTATTTTTACCGTTGATACTTAGTTTTATATCACTACAATAAAATTTATTATTATCAACAAATATTTAATGGTAATAAACTAATTATCTCTATTTTATAATTTAATAAAAATATTAATAATTAATATATAATAGTCACTAAAAATGTATTTACATCACACCAAAATTTACTATTAGCAACAATTATATATTGAGAAAAATTTAAGTCTCACACCAAATAAAAATAACATAATTAAAAAATATATAAGTGGAAGATAACTTTCACCTAACAAGTTTGTTTTAGTAAAATTGAATTAGACCTATAACTCAATATTCTAAGTTGGTATCAGATTACTCATCATTACCATAATGTTAAACTTAAGGAAATTTATTAAAAAAAATCATATTAAATGCTACTAAATGTTCATTTTGTTCATTTTGTTGTAGTGGATGTGACTTGTTTGAACTTATTTTCTATCCACATAAATCTAATCCAAAATCTTATTTAAATAATCAAGTGAAAACTATTAGGACCAACTATTTGGTGGTTTGTATTATTACTTTAAGAAAAATTCTATCAGAAAATATTTATTATTTTTCTATAATTGACATCAAAGAATAATCATTAATATTTAACTACCAATTAAATACAATTATAAATTAGGAAGTTACAGATTATAATTAATTTGTAGCAACAGTATTATATTTACATATTTAAGCCTTTCATGTATTCAATTCGAAACTGATTACCCTTTTAATTTTTCACTGAAAGGAAAAAGAATATAACAATCCTTCTTATTTCACGTGCCACCACCGGGCCAATGCCACGTTCACTTACATACCATGAACTAGAGTTGTTAGATGCCCCAGTATGGTTACGAGAAGCCCACTTGTGCCAATTGAAAGCAATTTAAGAGCCAGATGTAAGTTGCAAAAACATGGTTGAGAGAGGACTCCTTCACTGCAAGTTTCCAAGGTAAAGATGTTGAAGCACTGGTTCGGTTTGTCACTAGTTTTGTGCTGATGTCTGACCATCCTTTTCTCTCCCCCAAGTTGTCATGCCTTTTAATATTTGTTCTTTCAATATCCGTTTTCTTCGTTTCTTTTTGTCTTTTATTTCTTGAATTGATGGATTTTGTGGTTGTACTTACTAGGAATAAGGATTCTTCATTCTCCTAAGTCTTTGGAAGTAATCAATTTTCAAAGTGATAATTGTACTTGCAAAAAGAGACTGATGTTTAAGTTATCAAGTGTATAGAATTTATAAGTAATTTCTCACATTGATAGTATGTTCTAAGGGTGAAGTGCAAAAGTATAAATAGAAGAAAATTTATTACCGTTTGTGTGAAAGCAATAAAGAGCATTTAAAACCTTTAATTAATTAGTGTATAAAGACTGAATGTTACATTTAGTGTCGTCTTAGCTAGGGGAAGTGAACTCTATCATGTCGAAGACAACATGGTTTGACATTAGTGCCTTCCCAACACACCGAATAATGTCCGACATATTGCCACATTCTCGATCCCTACATATCGATGTTCACTCTCAATGCCGAGATATCTTCAACGTGATAGTTTGGGACCTACCCAGTACATAAGCCTCCCAAGTCTTCGACTTTAAGGAGAAGAATTTACTTCAATTAAAATGTCATGTTTCAAGGGAAAAGATTTTATCTCTTGGATTTTGAAAATGTTTGGTGTTTTTCTTGTGCTTCTCATTATGAAGGGAGAGTAATGATTACAAAAAAATTGGCTTGAACGGGAAGCTTCTAGAACCCAAACCTGAGAGGGGTCGCATCCTTCTAACCCATCGATCTTGTAGAGATCTGATTGTTCAAAGTGGTTGCGATGTTTCATTTCTCGAAGCTAGCTCTTGTGCCTATAAATAGTGTCACTTAACCTTCACATGGGATTAATGAGCATCTCCGTCTTCAAATCACTCTGAGTAGTCATCCTTGTTCTACTTTCTCCTTTTGTGACTAAGTACCTACTAGGTATGTTTCACTTCCTCTCCCTTATAAGTTCTAGTAATTCTGTAGAATCTCATTTATTAGGTGGGATGGATGTTAATGCTTTATCCTCAGATTCTTCATTCACATCCTATGTGTTGTCTTCCTCACCTACTCTTTTGACCCTTAATGCCTTAATATCCCCCATTAGGATGAACACCCTCGATTGATCCCTAAGAGAGAGACAACTCGCTCCTAAGGCTACTTAGGCCAAGGACATATCGGTTGATCCAAGTGGAAGGGTTCCTTCCGAAGATAATTTGGACCTAATGGTGGTACCCAACCCAAACTCCGAGTCTTAGATTGGGTTCAAGATAAGGTGTTTGAGTATTCCTCAAAGTATACTAATGAGAGCTTGTTTGTCTACTTCTTGGAGTCAAAGAATATAGTGAGTTTTGGTAAAAGGGATTATGTTGAGGTTCAAAGGCCCTTGGACTGGGAGAGGGTGTGTCGAGAGGCCAACGAAGAGATGTGTTTCTTTTATATGTATGATTATTTTTTTTTTACCCCTTAATGCTTGCCTTTCTTTCAATAGCTTCATGTGGGTGTCTTATCAGTTCTAAATGTGGTTCCAACCCAACTTCATCCAAATAGTTTGGCCCTTTTCAAGGAATTCTATTTTGTTTGCGGGAGTTTGAACATTGAGCCCACTCCTACCATATTTTTGGATTTTTACAAGACAAGATTGGGTGGTAAGTGTGGTTGGTTCTTTGATCATCCACGCTCATGGCGTCTTGTTTGAACCTTACACACCCTTGTTCAAAGGCTTTAAGGATGGATTCTTCAAGGTTAGGCTGACTGTGGCGGGAGCTTCTTGCTTAATGGACCCGGTTCTTGGGGACGAAGAGAACTCTACTCCCAAGTTCCCTTTCTACTAGACTCATTTGACTTGTAGGTATAATATATGGCATAAGGAGATCATGACCCCTGAAGAAGTCAAGAAACTAAAACTATTAAGTCTCTACCCTTCCCCTTAAAAACAAAAGAGATCCTTCGTATCTCTAAGATGTCAAACACTCAAGGAAAAATGGAGTGTAAGTGTTGTCATTTGAAGTTGTATGCATGTTTGGATTGATAGTTTTATTTATAACTCATTGCTTTTTGTTTCAATATTCATGACAAAGAGATTCAAGTTTGACTAGAAGAGTTTAAGGGCTACTGCTACCCAAGGTATCGGTCATCGTGGCTCTAGGCACTTGGCTATCAGGAAAACTTCGACCACCCCTTCCTAGAATCCTCTAGAAATCCAATTCGGTCCCATTACAAGGCTAAGTACTACAATGGCTGACAATGTGAATGAATCACCTCCTTCACCCTATAAGGAAAAGGACAAGGAAAAATGACCAAATGATTCTCGACATTCCAAAAGGCCAAGACAAAATAAAGGGGCCTTAAGGGTGAAGGCAAGCTCATTGACACCTAGAGAAACATTTTTTGACAAGAGATTTAACCTATCTCAATCATAGATCTCATCACTCTCTCCTCAGCCAGCCAAGAAGCCCTTAAAAAGATAAGTCATGAGGTGGTGTTGGCCACATTTATCGACTTTCGAGCTCAATCCTAAGTAATAGCTTAGTACCTTGGGACTAAGTTGTGGTGTCAATTCTAACAACATCAACAAATTTAAGCATGATTTGGAAGAGAACTCGGCAAGCCTCGGAGAAACATTGAAGACCAATAAGGATTTAACTTAGGACGTCACCAAGTTGTGAAGTCAGATTGGCAACTTGTATAATAGGGACATTCAATCTACAAAACAACTTCAGCGTGCTAAAGTGATCAACAAAAAACTTCTTGTCAAGAAAAAAAGTCTCAAGAACCATTTAATTGAAGTGGCTCGTTCTCGGGATGAGGATAGGGTGAGGAGGGAGACCACCGAGTCAGTAAAGACCCAAGCTAAAATGCATAGGATTTAGCGAAGTTATATGGCAAGTTGTTCATTTCTACAACCTGGAAAACACTTCTGTCTTTGATATAGACAAAAATGTTTATGAGGGGAAGATGGTGAATGTGGTATATTTTTTGAATGACTATGGGATGAAACTATCGAAGAAAATGTCGCCAACATGATGGAATCATGCTTTGGAGTGCAAGAGGTGAC